TCTTGTGTTCTTGCGAACTTGCTCGAGTATATATAGTGACTCAAGCAACTGAGGATTGCTGCACGATTCCGCTTGACTATAACGTCTGTTGTTTGATGCATCCTCTTAGGTAAGGAATGTCGAGGTCTCTGTGTTGGGTCTCACTGGAGAAATGCAATGGAGCGTTAGTGACAGTACGCAAGCTTCTGGTCTGCAGAACCAGCATACTACGAATATCCGTTTTGGCGAGGAAACACCATGCTACACATTCAAAGTGACTGCTGATCTAATAATTATCTTGTATAGCCGAACTTTGTTGATCACACTCAATTTTGAGCGTGGGGTAGAGCTGCCTTAACGTAATTTGGAATTTGGTTTGGCTTCATTGTGCTTATGCCAAGTCATCCCCTTACACAGTGGAGCAAGTTCGTAAACATTCAAGGCCACGGCTCTTAGTGTAATCAAAAATTAGCGCGAACTTTTAGTAAACTTATAATTGCACTCTAGCAAAACCGAATCAAAATTTGTTTAGTTCACCTCAAAATTAATCCGTGTACCTACCAAGTCAAAAAGCCTAGGTGTTTCCTCTTAAACTAAACACTTCTGTTTTTCTTTGCTCTTCTCATTTTTTCTTCTCTTTTCCTCTCTCTTTTTTCTTGACATTGTCTGGTTGCTGAGCAACCAGGACTGACACATTCGACTAACGTACATTAGACAGTGACTAATGGGCAAAGGTCTTACGGACCGCACAGACAAACAAATGATGAATAGTATAGTCATCCCCTTTTCAAGAGTGACACCAAGATACTTAACTGAATTTTTCCATGGTACACGATCTCCATTCACTGAAACCTCAGACGGGTCGCCGCTATGTTTTTAGTGCAATAGATAGTCTGCATTTTCGAGTAATTATTTTTATCAGCCACCGATCCGCACCTTCCAATACCTCATCCACAGCACTTTGTAACCTGTCGTAAACCAGATTCCCGGATCTCGACTGCGTCACCAGTGCAATGTCATCAGCATATAGATACACTTCAGTCGCTAGTGCAAGGGACGTGAGTGAATACAGGATTGGTCCGATAACCGAACCCTGAGGGACACCAGCTGCTGATGGACTGCTCTGTCGACAAGACATTATTAAGTTTGATCCGAAATTTCCTACCTTCAAGGACAACAATATCATTGTATTTTTCCACTTACCGTTGTGACACTAATGACAATCAACCAAAATCCATTGAAACGTCATCAAATAAGCCAACCAAAATGTGTAACGTCACTTTTCATGAGTCGAGCAACTGAAATTAAGAAATACAGCTTTCATATCTCCCTCGTATACACGGGAAAAGTAACAGATAAAGCAATTAATCGCGAGTCTTGTAAAATCAGTGCTACAGTGTTCAACAGCACAATACAGCTAAACATTGAACGTCGCAATTGAGTCAATGATGATAATTCGCTTCTTTGTATCCATCTGGCTTTGCAGTTTCCACTGCACATTGCAAACATACAAACACACAAACGCAGCAAAATTGCATTTATAAGTTACTACTGGCTCTGCAGGAACATCAAAATGTTTGTGTTATCCGATTATTATGCGATTCAAGGCTGATAAAATAGCTTAGCGAGCTATGTATACAATTTTCGTAATAATGCTTCGTTATATACCTAGTGATGATGTATGGTTGCGGTTTTGTAATGCTATAACAAATATAACAATAGGTGTGTATCACGCTCCCAAACGTTCTGTTTTGGTTACGAACCATAAACGTATATATTTTTTATAGATCGATACTAATGATATTGTTTTAAATATTATTCCACATTATTCCAGTACAAGGTAATGACAGTGTATATCAAAAAAGTTAATTGTACTTGTAGTTCTTCCCGTTCTTAAGAAATCATATACAAGTCGCAGAAAAATTCAAATTGTTCAAAATTCTTGTGTTAGGTTAATTCATGGTATTAGAAAATATGATTACATTTCGGAAAAATGTTTAGAAACTAAATAGAGCAATTTGAGAAACATATTGAAAATTTCTGCGATTACCTTATGTAATGAAATTATTACACAAAAGAGACATACCTACCTTTATCAAAAAATTAAATTTTGAACAGAAGTTCACAATATTAATATAAGATCCAAAGTCCTCATCACTCCTGCTAACCATAGAACCACTATTTATATGAAAGGAGTTTCAGCTGCCAAATTGCTGAGGAATATAACAACATCCCTCAGGAGCTTCTGGAGCTGGAGGAATTCCCATTTTAGAAGACAACTAAATCATTTATCTTAAAAAACAGCAAGAATGAAATGTCATCACTTGTATATTCAATTTTTATTCTTTAACTGACTGGGTTGAACAGTCATCTACTATTTTCATTATTTTATTTGTACATTTTTTATATCTCTGTAAAGCTGAATATTTACCCTAAGATTTCCACTACCCACAAATTCTGATTTCAAAGTATTTTCTGAACTTGCAGGACAAGAACAAAATAAGGCAATCCTGCTGCTAGCTGAACTGACTATGACCAAGGAGTTACAAAACATATCAGTACAAAATAAAATTTATGAACAGATTCCCTAAGATTTCCGAAAGTAAAGCTATATCTCTCATCATTTGGTAAAGGGTTATCTTCGGTACAAGCACCATCTTTGAGAAAAAATTTAGGTACGAACATGTGTAACAGAAAATTAACTGTATCAAGTTAACCAAACAGGCACAACAATTGAAATTTGCATATTTAGCATGCTTTTCTGTATAATTTTGGGACACTTTAGGATTCGGCATCCTGAAAAATATGCTCGATTTTCAAAAAATTTTGGAGGCAGATAGGCTTTGACACAGAGTTACCTCTTGCTGATAGATGGCTCTCCCCTCCTGAAAAAAATTCCTACTGGCGCACGTGATCAAACTATGGATGACGATCGACGATCCACATGCAGTCGAGCAGCGGAGGCTGACTGCTACACACATACACACAATATTTCCCCATCAGTCTAAATTTCAAGTATAAATAAACGGGGAAATCTGGGATAAGTAAAATATGTCTAGTAGGACGCGTAGAAATATTTCAACATCAAAACATTGAGATATATCCAGTACAACCCCACCCTCCAACGAAAGAAAAAGAGGTTTGAGCGATTATCATTTGCATAGAAATAACATCGTGTACAAATTTGACAAGTGAGGTCAAGGCTCAGAGAACAGACAGACCGACGAAATCGAGTGCATGGTAAAACAGTCATATGGGATGTGAAAAAACGTCTTATATAAGATACAGGGTCTGACCAGAAAGTAATAGGACTGAGTCGATTTAAAAAAAATTATTGAGCCAATCGTTACAATTCTTTAAAAACTTTCAAAATAGGCCCGTTCTGCGTCGATGCAGCGCTGCCAGCGTGATTTCCAATCATTGAAGGCATTCTCCGAATAACATTGAGAGCCGCGGTGCATGCTGCTTGAATCCCCTCTGTCGTCTCAAAATGCTTTCCTTTCATCGGCCTTTTCAGGCGAGGAAGCAAAAAAAAGTCCGAGGGGACCACATCTGGGCTGTAGGTCGGCTGCGGAAGGGTTGGGATGCCGTCCTTGGTCAGGTAGCTGTTCACAAGAAAGTCGGTGCGAGCCGGGGCGTTGTCGTGGTGCAACTTCCAGTCGGCTGCGATGTCTTGTCGGACCCGACTGACCCTACGTTTGAGTCTCCTGAGCACTTCCACGTAAAACTTGGCGTTGACGGTTTGTCCAGGAGGAACAAATTCATGGTGGACGATGCCTTTGATGTCATAAAAGACAACGAGCATCGTTTTCACTTTGGATTTGCTCATTCTTCCCTTTTTTTGGCGAGGAGACGCCGTCGTGTGCCACTCAGAAGATTGCTTTTTTGTCTCAGGATCACACTCAAAGATCCACGACTCGTCACCTGTGATTACGTTATTCAAAAATTGGGGGTCCTTTTCACACATGTTCAAATTTTCTTGGCACACTTCCACTCGCCGCAATTTCTGGTCGTCAGTGAGCACTTTTGGGACCATCTTCGCGCACAGCTTGCGCTTGTTCAAATACTGTGTCACAATTTCATGAACCACAGATTTTGGTAAATTTAATATCTGGGCAATTAAACGAATACTTGCTTGATCATACCAAACGTCTCTGTCGCAGATTTACCGAGTTTCATACAGAATTTAATCGCGTACCTCTGCTCTAACGAACGCTGCATTTTCGGCTTGCACCACTCACAGAAACACGTCGCGCGAAAATGCCTGTGCTGACTGTCGAAGGGCTCGGAGACAACTGACCAGCCGCTCATTCGTTAGCTAGGAACGCCCTCTACCGAATCCAGTCGGTTCGCGCACGCTCCGAAGTACAGTCATGGCCGACGAAAATGAGTCCTATTACTTTCCGGACAAACCCTGTACAATAAATTGATTTTTATTTTGTTTCGACTCAAAATTCAAAAGTAACTATTGTTGTAAGCACGTAATGAAACAAGGACACTTAAAATGGAAAAATCGTCACCACGATAGTTTTCATGCCTCGGTAGCTCGGTGGTTAGGGCTTCGAGCTAGCAACCCGGGCTGCGGGTTCGAATGTCTGCCTTGCGAAGGATGTTGTGTTGTCTTGTTGTCTATATCACGCACGTGGTGCAATCTCGACAAGTATATCTCATCGCTGGAGTTGGCTTATTATATCACTTACTAGTAGATAGACGCATCGTGGAGTAGTACAGTGTTGGTACTACGGGGTCGGAAAAAAGGGTCAAAGGTGGCCTGGTGGCCAGGCTTCGCCTCCCCACTACCACTACTACTACTTCATGACGTAGTCAAATAATTCGCTCATCGACTGGAAACATTACTTTTAAAAAATAAAACACTACATATTGCTTAAATTGCAAGGATCTTTGGTGACTTCTTCACTTCAATAATTACTTAAATTCAAGGCATATTTCATTGCCGTAAGCATTCCCTGACAGATAACTATGTGAATATACAATATCGTGACAACGTTTTCTTCTTTCAGATTATCTTCACGATCAACGATACGTACAGAAAGATGCTTCAGGGAAAGATGATCCAGAATTAAGAAGTAAGTAGAGATAACAAGCTGGCAACCGTCATAGTTGTCGCTCTGTGGTTAATAGCAGACCAAAGTACATTGGTTAGTTAATATAAAACAATAAATGAAAAGTTGACATTTCCCGGTAAAATAAATGAGTACCACATTATTACCCATTGATGTTGTACCGAATATGTGTCGATAAAACATCATAGGGAGTGTAAGAGAGGATACTTAGTGCTACTTTACCAAACAAACACTGAGCACCGAGCCAGTGTTAGTGAATTGCACTCTTTCTAACCAACGAGTTCCATAGTACTCGTGGTAGCTTGCTATATGTTTGTCTGTGGCTATATTTACTCCAAAGCAGAGCTTTATATATTAAATAATATAAGTTGATGACAAGTCGTTCAGTTGGAAAAATCATCAAAATATAGAGTATAGAGATATTCGCTTACGGCGATTCTACATTGTATAATTTTGTCATCAGGGACAGTGGACAGATTATCCCGCATGGTCACAGTAACATTAACGCTGGTATGCTTGATGCTGATTGTGTTGGCCAGTTTCCTTTGTTTCCAATTCTACCGATGGAAGGAGAAGAAAAACATCACGTTGGCCTCGATCAAAAATAAGTTTTTCAAAAAGCAGGTATGTAGAATAAGGTATAAACTATGGGGATAAAACATTAAGCAACTTATTACGCAAAAGTTTAATTTTTATCATGATGTGCGAAAAGCTAATTTTGAACAATCGGAATACAGATGATACCTAGTAGCCAAGTGAAGTCGAACATTTGCCAAAGGCTTAACAATAGCTTGAAATTAATCATTTAATAAGAAATAATACATCCATTATCAGCCACCGATTGGTCAGTGTTGCAACCGTTGTGTCTTGCAGTATGTTGCTTCTGAGTGCTGACGATGTTTTTCTCTGAACAACATTATAAACTATTTTTCACTATGATTCTTCACGTCAAAAGGTGGTAACAAATAGCAACTAATCTATTGTATGTCTAGGGCTCTCTTAAACCTTGAAACCCTGGTCCACTGGATTGATTTTCTAGATTTTTTGTGAAATTCGTTCAAAGTACTGTATATTAAAAAGTTTAAAGTCTAGTTTTGCGCGATTTTGACATTCAATTGTTTTTAATATTTTTTTATTTCGTTCATTCATGTATGCGGTTGTTTGGGTTTATAATATACCAGCTTATATATCCCATTAAATTGAATAAAAAAGTGCAAGTCAACTAATGTATTTTACAGCTTCCTCACTGGGATACAGGGTGTTCCAGTACATTTCTTCTTATATTTAAATTTTTCATTTCTCTTAAATTACTTGAGTAATTTAGATGAAATTATGCTATGTCCAACTGAAATACCCCAGGGGCGACGCTATGAAATTTTACAAAACTAACAAGATTTTCTGCTTGCCTGTTGATAAGCGAGAGTCCGTTGCTATAAAAATCAACCGATTGTAGAACCCACCGAAGTAAACTGGAGCGTATAAAATGTTCCTAGCTCTCTCTAATTTCTTGAATCGCGGCTCATAAATAAGAATAGTTAGGATTTGTATAATGAATAGGCTTCAACCAAAAACGGTCAGTTTTGTTGTTTTTCTAGTGTCCGGATGAATAAATGCAAGACAATCTTCTTGAAGTTTCAGTTTTTGACGTTTCAGGCTCTTCAAGTGCTTGTTTATATGCGGGAGAAAATATTTTACTGGCGTGCTTAAGCCCTTACTCGGAGTAGCGAATAATGCAATTTTTGTATGATGGTCATTTTTGAACTTATTTAGTATGTTACTCTAATCCCTAGTTACTATCTATCTTTTTGAAATTAAAAATGTACGAGATTTGTTCAAGAAGTATCACGAATTTCATGTTTTTTCAAGAATTATTTATTTATTCATGAATATCTATTTTGTCCCCTTCAAAATAATGCTCGGGCATCCAGAACGCTTTTCGTCCCTCACATCTTCTCGGCCATTTGAGAACATTTTGTACCACCGATAAGCATTGCTTTTGTGCAAAGTAGCTTCGCCATATGCAACAGTCAACATTTGGAATATGTCCGCGCTCTTCAAGTTATTTTTTGAAAAAAATTTAATAGAACTTTTTTGATCCATATTATGGAATATACAAAAATCGGAGAGCAGCTAAAACCCGTCCACGCACAATAGCTGTCAAAAACTGACTGAACATACAAAATGTCCGATATTATCAACATTAGTGAGGGTACTTTTTGAACAAACCTCGTATATTTCCTTCGGTAATAACTTCGATTCATTAACAATTTCACCACATAAAGCATCGTGTACATTCACATTCTAACAGCAATTTAGTCACTATACACCTATTTATAGTAAGTATGCCTTTGCTACGCATTGAGTGAAACCTGGCTCAGTTAAAATTTATAGGATGCACATAAATTTTGCATGGACGCAGCATTCACTTTGACGGGGGATCGTAGTGATGAGCACACCGCGCTTAGAATAAACACCCCGCCTGGTATTCGGCAAAGCTGTACAATCAAGGCTTGTTTAATCCGCGTATAATGAAAATCGATTCTGTAAACTGCCGTCGGCACTTCGTCGTCTACCTAGGCGGCAGGGCAGAAGATAGAAAAGTTACCGTGCTCATTTGAAACGACTAATATCTTTCCTATTATCTTCCAACTCTGTTATTACACATGGTATCTAAAAAAGCTAAATACAAAAACAGTATGCTCCTTACTAGAAATATTATCTCTATAGCTCATAAATGCTTCGTGACCCAAATATATATTTTTTTTAATGGATAGAGACAACGATTTGATATAGCATACTACAAGGTTTTATCTTCAAATTGTTGTGCTATTGAAGTAAAAAACATGAAACTTTGACAACTCGCAACCCCGCAATTGTCATAGCTAGAGAACTGACTTTTTCTTCAAGAAAGTTTACCGATCCTACATTTTCACTGTATCTAATGACTCTTCAGTTTTTTGTATAATTGATACAGAATGGTCAAGCACACAAAATGAATCATTCCTCAAAAGTCTCATACGTATGTTTTTACATTCTCTGAATCGCCTGTCCACATGCTTCCTTCCTATATAAGGTTTATGAGGATTTGTACGACTGGTTTTTGAATCCCAAGATAAATGGAATATATCGCAAGACGATTTAGTAACTAATTGCAGTATATCGTTAGAACTGATGTATTTTCATTACAAAGCAGATCCGCCCATCCTTTTACAATAAAGTCGAAGGATGAATAATTTGGAGTATAGGTTTTATTTTTTGTTGTACTCATGTGGTTCGTGGTTTCGAATAAATTTTTTTGAGGGGCTTAATTCCAAGTTTAGCATTATGTAATCCTTTGCCAAAGAAAAAATGTTCCAAGCCTTGACCACAGCACTAGCTGTACAGAATGATTCGTCATACATAACATAGCTTTTCAGATAGCATGTCTTATAATGAAGTTATAGACAGAATCGACCACTGCGGAAAGCGGACGGCTGCTATTAGTTGGAACTAGTTCACGTTTAATAGCGCACTCACTACGTAACCGCTAGATGGCTGACGATTCCGGCTACAAAGTAGATGTGGTCTACCTGCCATTGAATAAACTAAACATGCTGCTCTTCGCCCGTCTAATTAAAAATACAGCTAACCATGATCTTTTTGGCGCATACCTCGAGAATATTCGCCAGTATACTGCGTAGCCGAGGACCTGGGACGTAGCTTTTCTGTTCGAGAAGAGATTGGATGTCACCAGAGGTTCAAAGCCGCAGGTTGAAGAGCTGCTGTGCGTTTCGGATGGTGACCGATACGTCTACCTGATGGTTACCAGGGCAGCTCATCATCAGCCGCCGACCTATCAAGCATTGTAGAATGTCTTTAGAGACCTACGGCAACTCCTGATAGCCTGTAACTTCCGGAACCTGGTGATGCCGAAGCAGAAGTGTTAACGAGTTCGACTAGACTCGAGAACCGTAAGGAATGTTCTGGAGGTGCTGTTTCACCATATGGGCGTGGAGATCTTGGTTTGCAGTGACGCTTTCCTGCGGAGAGGAGCCCAGGAGAAGGCAGTGCCATGCCATTCCTACAGAACATCCATATGCACCAAGGGACCTACCAGATCCATGAAACCCGTTTCAAAATAAAATGGTATTGAATATGGGGCAGTGTAACGTCCTCGTTACTGGAACAATGCCTTCGTAAAATCGACGCTTAGATAACCGATTATGCGACCACGTATCGACAGCGTTTGACACCCATCGAGAACCATGGACCGCCAAGCTTTGGCGAAGACCCGAGCTCTGCCTAGAAAATGCGGAAATGCTCCTAGGATTCGTCGATTTGAAAATAAATACGTGCGTCGAGAGCAGAATGGCAGAGTAGAGTCGACAGCAGATGGTGAGGCAGCAAACATGGCATAGATCAGTCGACTGGCTACAAGTATTGTTATAAATTAGTGTGAGAGTAATAAATTAGTCTTTAAATATAAAAAACGGTGTTTTCGTTACATTACAGATTTAATTATCTAGAATGGAGACCAGTAAATCATTGAAAACATCCTCCTCGTCATGTTATTACTAAATTTTTTCTATGGCATCAAATGTAGCAACGCCCGCATTTCGAAGGTCAAATCTGGGAAAAATAGTCCAGCGGCTTTTTGCACCAAAAACTCTGAGAATGGATTAGAAGTTGCTCCACATATATGTTTTTGTCATATATTATGCTCCGTGTAATATATACTTGTAATATTTAATCGATTCCGTTACAACAACTACGACTTCTCTTAGTATATCGATACTGTTAAAAATTAGCGTACCTGCAAATGAATGAAGGTGTTTTTATAAACCTTAATTGAAACAAATTCATAGAGCCACGAGGGCTTCAATATCTTTTAAAGTAATTACCATAACTAATCTCCAACTAACCACAATCTAACATATTCTGAAACAGGTAGTATACTTAGAAATCTATTTATTTTCCAGCAACCCCAAAACAGTCAGCATAATATGGAAGTTAGCTTGGAAACTAAGAAACCAGACCTTCGTCTCAACATGCCATCCACCAAAACCATTTCGGATACCAGTCCTGTAACTGTGACTACCTCCATAAGCAGAAGGCCAGCAGAGGACAGTACCTTGGACTATGCGTACGACAATCCAGCACTGAATTCATCTCCAAAATGATCTATCGAAATAGGAACACTATTTATTCCGTACTATACGTACTATCAAATAGTTATGGCTGCGATATCCGATGAGTATGAGTATTTTTCCGAGAAGCCTTACTTTTGAGGATATTTATTAAGGACAATAGCTATGGCAATTGTTTTTTTGAAGTTAAGATGCCTAGAATGTGACAACTCAGCTCAGCCCAAAAACTGAGAATCATTGCAACTGCTAATGTTTGATATTTAGTATCAAGTTCCAGAATAATGTTAAATAACAAATCTATCAAAGTCCACAAAAATGGTGACATTATCTAAAAAGAGCCAATGTATTTCTAATTTTCCAGTGAGCTAAAATTCAAATGGTTTGTCTAATTCCTCACCAATCTGGGTCATTTATACTTTTTTACTTTATATCGGTGGTGGGCACATACATCACATCACAGATCATGTAAAATACAATTGTATACGTCTAGACATGTATTTATACAATCTAAACAATGTAGACAATATTGACAGAATAGAAAATAATAGTTTAGTCAGACCGCTTGCATATATCCTATGCCGGTAGAAGTGATTTTTCAATAATTAGAAAAGATATAAGAGTGAATATATGATATTACTATTTGTACATACAAAGGTCTAGTTTCACGTTAATAAGGAACATTTCTAAAATAAGATACAATACATTATGAAAGTCTTCTGGTCAATATTTAGATTGGCAAGGCCGTTGTCGGTCAGTCATAGGGAGTAACTTCTTACTAATTATTCTTGCTACAATTTCTAATTTGATTTGAGCTTATATTAGACAAGTAGCCAATATTATGATACCAAATAGCCGCATATTACGATACCAGATGAGTTAACTTACCTGCGCGATTCTGAGCGACGTACAGCTGAATTAGACATCTTTTTTCACAGATACAGCACTCGACGGGATATTTTCTTCCATATTCGAACAAAATCAGCCATAGCTCATGAATTTCAGCTCGATCTACCATATTGTTCTTAAAATGGCTCTACCCTACTGTTCTTAAGATTGCTGGTTTACTGATGTTTTGATGTTTGCGAGAAACCATACCTTCACATTGCTTTTCAATACATTGTCTTCATCATTGTTTAAACTTTATACATTGTATACGTATTGTTTACATCGATACACGAATAAACGCCCATAACTGCTGAGTATCTTAGCATAGCACAAAGAGTAACCAATAGTTCGTATAACCTATGATAGTAACGGAGTTTTCCAGCAGGTAAGCGATCAAAAAGTCTGGTATTGTTGAGCGGAAAATTGGATATTACTATTACAACTTGAAGTTACACATGTTTAATATTATTATAAGTTATATTGTCGTAGTTAGGTATATAATTTGTTACACATGAGATTTGTATTGCATTTTACTTATGTTGAATCTCGTGCTGACGTATTCTGCTGTACTTACTTGATCATGAGATTACTCATTTTAGTACTTAGTTCTGTGAGTCATAAGTCAGTTGAAAACTGATTTCCTCAATTAATACAGTTTTTCATGATTTTCTTATTCAAAGAAACGCTGCCACCACTCTAGCTGGTTTTGTGTAAATTTCAAAGTGTCTTACAAATATATATCAAGCAGATATTATTAGGTCATGCGTCTTATCTATAGGGTCCAACCAGGCTGAAACCAATGATCGTCTGGGTCACTCAAAAATAATAATAATAATAATAATAATAATAATAATAATGTTTATTGTCACAAAATACAGGTAAATATCAAATATTGTGCTCAATAAACATAAAGCACCCAAAAAAAGTTTGCACTTGTGTTTGGATTTGTACAAAATAAAAACTAATAGTACAGTCAGTGTATGAAAAAAAAAACCGTTAATACTGTATAATTTGGTGAATTATTATGGTAATGTCAGAAAAAATATCCAGACAATTAGAACTAAAGTAAAAGTATGGATGTTAGTGATTTTGATAATGATTTTTCAGATCTACAATTTCGTGGATCGAGTACCTTGGTTGTTGTAAAATCCATTTGTTTAGTTCTTTTTTAAATGATTTAATTGATTTAATTACTTTTAATGACTCTGGTATGAAGTTATAGAATTTTGGTCCCAAGAAAAAAAGAGATCGTTGTGTAATGGTTTTTTGATGTTTGTGGAATACACATTGAATTTTGATGGAATCTTGTTGGTTAGTTATGAATGGTACGATTAAAGTATTTTGAATATTTGAAATAATGTATTAGACCACAATAAAAATAAATTTGCCTGCAATCTAATAGCTGAGCCTCCACATATAGAAAATCACTTGAATAAGTAATAATGATGAACGTTTGCGCCTCCGGGTCTGCTGCTTATAAGTAGAAATTTCTATTTGAATGTGTGATGTTCCATCAAACAATGGGATAATTTGGTTGTGTTACATTCGGATTAAAATATTATGAAACTCAAGATATATAAATACCAAATTTGCTAAAGTATATCAGAGAAAGACTGGATTATTTTCAGTAATAAACCGAAGATTCCTGAAATCATACACTCCTAGCGTTCTAGTAACGGAATCAGTGATATATTCTTTGTAATTGCTTACTTAGTTGAAATACAAATTAAAAATAGCTGCACATTCACAGAGCTTTATAGGAAACACCTCATTTGCTGCTATGATTTCATTACCATGTAAAATAATTCTTACGAGAGCCGTTTTCAAAATCATACCACCAAGTAAAAGTCAGTTTTCAAAATAAAGTAACAATGTATATCATTTTTTTTGACAGACCTTTTGAAAGGTATGTCAACTGTTCTTAAGCTCATTTTCTAAGATTATGGGCATTTTCACTATATCAGTCGACCGAGTTTCTGCACTTTTTCTCAGCAGTACTGATTTTATGGCAGCTTCGGCCTCAGATCAAAACCTCGGTTTTTTTGTCAGAAGGCCAAATGTTTTTTTTTATTGCGGGCGAAGCCAACACTTCGATTGGACCCTATTCATATATGAACCTTTTGGGGATACGTACAATTAGCTCATTTTTTACATATGCGTTACTGATTATATTGGGTATCGTGCAATTCATAATATTTTCATATTCTATCTTTCGCTTTGATCTAGTCCTTGAAAATCGGATGCGCTATTAATGTAGTACTCCAAATATGTGTTTGAAAGTAAAATTTATTATTTCTCAATCCAGTCAGTGACAATAGTAGTTTAAGAGTATCTTTAATTTTTGCTCAGCATAAATTGAAGACTATCATTCGCTCTCTGGGTATGTTTAAAAATGTTACGAACCGCGTTCATTTTCGCCAGTTCAGCTAATTATAAAAGGCGCACTGAGAAACTAAACCATACAGTTGACCTAAATATTGTGGAAACCGTTTTTATTCGTCTAAATTGTATTTCTTGATCATATTTCCTATGCTAGCCGAAATTGTCGCCATATTTGGAGAAATTGCTAACCACACGCCGCAATAGGTAGTACTGACGTTATGGAGAATATGATAATGAAAGGTAATAGTGATTTCGCAAGTGTCTACTGACTGGATTGGATTTAATTAAACAGACAAATTTTCCGTTATGTTTAAATTCGAAAACGGTATTTTACAGAGACAAATATTTAAATAGTTTTAATAGCTGAGCCATGCTTTCTCTTTAGGAAGAATCATCACATGTATATGCGCTCAAAGAGCAACTATCACTAAACCTTCAAAGTATTGTGTTATTATTAATTTTATATATGATCGTATATTTTCTAGATATATTTATGTACAGTTATCCATCAAATGGCGCTTCTGCCCCTATTACAGATTTTAAAATGGTACTATGTACGGGTGGAAAAGTGCACTTCATGAATAAGTTTTCCAGACGTTAAGTCCCACTTTTAGTATAAAGTAACTGTGGCGCCCGCCAAGTGTTGAGCACGATCTGGCGACTTCTAGCGTTGCACTAGTTTATTCGTTGCTAGGTGACGACGCGACTACCGGTGATGGAATGATACGGTCAATTTATTTTATTTTTAATCCTACTTAATTTTTGATTTTAGTGCTTGGTGCAGGAAAGTCATTTAATTTCATGCCGCTTATCAAAGAGATAAAAAAACTTGTTCATATATATATATATATATATATATATAACTTGAGACGTGGTCATTGTCGTCTAGACCAGTTAGGTGAAAAATTAAAGCTTCCGCTTTTTTTTGGGTACTTCGACAAGATTTAAGCAAAGAGGACTCTTTATACTTTTTTTAATTCTCTCTAGCTTTCAATGGACTTTGCCATCATCATCAGGAGCTGCAATTACAATGATAACAGTAGCAACAAAGGTGTAAAATGAATTTAAATTGACTCAACTTACAGTAGTATGTGAGAATGTTGCTAATTGTTGTTTATGTATAGAATGAGGGAAACGTCCAGTAACATGGTGAGAGCTGAATAGGTTGCACAATAGTCAAAATTTATACAAAACATGACAAGAACACGTTAAAAACAGATTAAAAATTATTTTAAAAAATTAGAACATTACATCGTGAAACCACCTGATGATTGCACAAATTAGTGGTCATGGAATGATGAATTGATGAGTGACATGAAACCCTTTGACAGAAGGCCGAAGGATGTCAATGTCAGTATTAAAAGATGGAACGAATTGTGGGCGTGTGCCAAAAACGTTGCCAAATCACTTCAGATGAAGAGATTTTCAGAATTTTATGATGGAATTTGTTAAACCGACCAGAGGCAGTTGAATAAACTATATTATTATTAATGGGAATTTTAAATTAACAATTATTAATAAATCGTGAGGAGAGAATTATTATATTTTGAGTGGGATGAAATTTACTGGTGGAAACGGCCAAAACACAGATTCTAATTATGGTTGTGAAGAGTTGAAATTTGGGGAGATATGTAAGTTCTCCAATTTTTCGCAGTTTAGCAAATATGAGTAAATGACACTCAGTTGTTTAACATCTGTCTTTTTGTTGATACAGTTGTTATTCATGAAAATGTGGGACATTTCCAGGAATAAACGTTTGGAAAGGTGTTTTTCTTTATCAAGAACTTTGATACTTGTGTAATTCATAGAATGCCCTGTTGTGTTAACATGAGATGCTAGAGCGCATCTTTCAGGATGAAGCCTAGCATCACTTTTGTGTGATGTAATCCTTCCTTTAAGAGATCTGGAGGTCTGACCTATGTATATTTGGTTGCAGTTGTTGCAATTGATGGAGTAAACTGTGTTGGTTAAGCCAAGCAGCGGGACTTTGTCTTTCATTTTTGAAAAAATTGATGTTATTATTGGGAATTACATCAGTTCCGTTATTAGGGGTTGTGCGACTATTACCTGCATCACCAGAGTTCGGCAAAATATTGGAAGGTGAACTAAAAATGATCTTGTTAATCAGACACTTCGGATAACCATTATTGATGAACAGTTTTGATAGTTTACGTAAATTTGAGGTGTGGAAGGTATTATCTGAGATGCTGATTACCCTTGTTTTCATCTGTTTTACCAAATTGATTTTAATCCCTAGCTTATGGTATGACCTAAAATTGAGAAACCGACCTGAGGCCATAGGTTTCTGGTACCAGTCTACCAATAAACTGTTGTTGTTGGTGCGAATGAGTCTTGTGTCTAGAAAGGGGACAGACAGGTTCTCATCTTCTTTTTCAATGGTAAATTGGATGTAGGGGTCATAGCTGTTGAATTCTCTGACAATACCATCCAGACCTATGGAAGGGAGGCATAAAATAATGTCATCTACGTATTTTTTTATGAAGAAGAGGTTATAGGGTAGTGTCGGAATAACTGTATCAAGCAGTATCAAGTTCTGTCACCAATTTTGGCGGAATATGTCATGGATGATCTGCTTGATACAGTTATTCCGACACTACCCTATAACCTCTTCTTCATAAAAAAATACGTAGATGACATTATTTTATGCCTCCCTTCCATAGGTCTGGATGGTATTGTCAGAGAATTCAACAGCTATGACCCCTACATCCAATTTACCATTGAAAAAGAAGATGAGAACCTGTCTGTCCCCTTTCTAGACACAAGACTCATTCGCACCAACAACAACAGTTTATTGGTAGACTGGTACCAGAAACCTATGGCCTCAGGTCGGTTTCTCAATTTTAGGTCATACCATAAGCTAGGGATTAAAATCAATTTGGTAAAACAGATGAAAACAAGGGTAATCAGCATCTCAGATAATACCTTCCACACCTCAAATTTACGTAAACTATCAAAACTGTTCATCAATAATGGTTATCCGAAGTGTCTGATTAACAAGATCATTTTTAGTTCACCTTCCAATATTTTGCCGAACTCTGGTGATGCAGGTAATAGTCGCACAACCCCTAATAACGGAACTGATGTAATTCCCAATAATAACATCAATCCTAACAGTACTAGCACCAACCCGGACTCCAGACCTGGTTTTGCTGTCCTGCCCTACATCAAGGAACTGACCCCTAAGCTGATCAGATTGTGCAGTCCTTTGAACTTTCGAATTGCTTGCAAATCCGTCCTCACTATAAACTGCATTTTTTCAAAAATGAAAGACAAAGTCCCGCTGCTTGGCTTAACCAACACAGTTTACTCCATCAATTGCAACAACTGCAACCAAATATACATAGGTCAGACCTCCAGATCTCTTAAAGGAAGGATTACATCACACAAAAGTGATGCTAGGCTTCATCCTGAAAGATGCGCTCTAGCATCTCATGTTAACACAACAGGGCATTCTATGAATTACACAAGTATCAAAGTTCTTGATAAAGAAAAACACCTTTCCAAACGTTTATTCCTGGAAATGTCCCACATTTTCATGAATAACAACTGTATCAACAAAAAGACAGATGTTAAACAACTGAGTGTCATTTACTCATATTTGCTAAACTGCGAAAAATTGGAGAACTTACATATCTCCCCAAATTTCAACTCTTCACAACCATAATTAGAATCTGTGTTTTGGCCGTTTCCACCAGTAAATTTCATCCCACTCAAAATATAATAATTCTCTCCTCACGATTTATTAATAATTGTTAATTTAAAATTCCCATTAATAATAATATAGTTTATTCAACTGCCTCTGGTCGGTTTAACAAATTCCATCATAAAATTCTGAAAATCTCTTCATCTGAAGTGATTTGGCAACGTTTTTGGCACACGCCCACAATTCGTTCCATCTTTTAATACTGACATTGACATCCTTCGGCCTTCTGTCAAAGGGTTTCATGTCACTCATCAATTCATCATTCCATGACCACTAATTTGTGCAATCATCAGGTGGTTTCACGATGTAATGTTCTAATTTTTTAAAATAATTTTTAATCTGTTTTTAACGTGTTCTTGTCATGTTTTGTATAAATTTTGACTATTGTGCAACCTATTCAGCTCTCACCATGTTACTGGACGTTTCCCTCATCCTATACATAAACAACAATTAGCAACATTCTCACATACTACTGTAAGTTGAGTCAATTTAAATTCATTTTACACCTTTGTTGCTACTGTTATCATTGTAATTGCAGCTCCTGATGATGATGGCAAAGTCCATTGAAAGCTAGAGAGAATTAAAAAAAGTATAAAGAGTCCTCTTTGCTTAAATCTTGTCGAAGTACCCAAAAAAAAGCGGAAGCTTTAATTTTTCACCTATATATATATATATATAGGAAAAGGGATTCTATTTACTACGTAACACTACAGTATTGAAAAATAAATTACGTCCATTATTCATCCCTGAATGAGATCAAAAACAGATTAACCAAATTCATAATCCAATAAAGTTGAAATTTCAACAACGTAGCTCTAAAAAGAGTTCACCTTATCAGTAATTCTGATAATAGTTTCTACAACAACTGCTATTTTCATGACTTGCTTCATCTTCAATTCGCCCGAGTTTTTTATATTTATCATTCAACTTTGTAATTAGCCTATTAGTACTATGTTTTGGAAGTCTAGTTCGGTTCTTTCTATGCAGATAGGAAGGACAGCGAGAACCTTTTTAGCCATGCAGTTAATCATGGTCATGATAAATTGTAATGGTGATTTTTTATTATGAGTTGTGTCCTCCGTACCCGAACAAACCGGAAACGGATTACAGTGTCGGATGACGTTTCACACACATTGCAAAGAACAAATGACAGCGGAAAGACAGAGAGTGCGACGCGTATTGTTCAGAAATTTTCAAATTCGGATACAATCGTCGTTGTGAAAAATACTGATGATTTTCTCATCGGCTATCGATTCTTATCGTTATTTCTTTCGATATTTATCGTTATTTAAAATGAGTTGATAATATATAAATAACCGATTGTAGATTATCGGTTTGAATGCCCTACTGTCTATATGATTCAGTAGGTACGTCCAAACGCCGAGCTCTCAGTTTCGTATAAACAAGAAACAGAGGTTCACAAATCCACTACCGGTACTCCTCGATGAGTCGGTACCTTTAAAGTATTCATAATATTTATCCGGTGACAAAGTTGTTCCCGATAAGTTCGTAATTTTTACTTCCCAGTTTAGCTCTTTTGTCTTCTCCGAGCGCTGTAATTGGTATTGACAGTGTTAAAAAAAAGCACCACCGCACTGTCACTTGTCTCTGTATCAGGTACAGTTGAAATAGCACGTTGTAATTGGAAGCGACAGCGTTCTGGATTTAATTATCCCAGTCTTAGTTAATTGCCAGTTGATGGAGCGATCGATCAAAACACAGTAGACGGTTAATTATTATAACAGGTAGACATTTTTTTGTAGTGGAATAGGGGAGATGAGAAGATATTAATTATTGGAAATAACAAACATAAATAAAATGTAGAGAATCATGATGGACGAAGTGACAATGAAAGTTGTTTATTCTATGCATCAACGATTTTAAACTTTAAGCAGGAAATAAAGATTATTTAAGAGGGATCTTACTTTAATCCACAAATCAGGATCATTCACGTCACTCCTGCCTACGACAAGATATTAATTGTTACGGCATGTCATTTTCATTTACTCGCGCTCCATATTCTGTTTTTCAGTAGACCCATTCCGCTTGTTTGCTTTCCATTGACTGTTCCAAATGAAGTATACGGTGGTAACGATTGTCACCAAGATAGGAAGCAAATAGATCCTATTCAACCGGCGATTATTATTGTTGATTTATTCTTATGGGAAATGATTCAGTCTATCTCAGTTAGCGTACCTTCTGTTTTTCTAAACACCAAAAGTAAGTTTTTACCATAGCTAGACGATAACACATTGGAAGGTTGTTTGGAGTAAAAGGACCAAAAACTAAAAATATGAACAATAGCATACAATGAGGACCATGAGTTGAAACACAAGGTGACGCGGCTCTGGCGTGACGAATCTATAGCCGCATCGAATTACAGTCACAACTGTACGATGGACCAAGATTTTGACGCACTATGTCAACTAGGTTTAGTAGGAGTATTCAGTATCATTAGACTTTTCACTAATCTTAACGCTTTCACAGCTAACTCTGCACTTTGATGGATAACTGAACATATGGTCTAATTTCGTCCATACTAAACATTCCATTTTTAGTAAGCTATTATAGGTATTATCATGAATATTGTATATAAAACACCTAGAATTGTAAATAATGTTAGCATTCGTATTATTATGATACAATGGGTTCCCACATGGCGGCTATCTTACTTAATTTACACACCTCCAGAGCAGTACTCAGTACTGGTAAGTGTGGAGAAATCACAGTTATGTACATATAAATAGTTGACTTAAGTTATCATACTTAATTTTATTTTAGTAACTGTTTAGTGTTTTATTGTTATATCCTTATCGTATCCGTCCATTATTTTTTATTTTTTAGCTATTACACGATTATCGTAGACACTGTATATCTGATATACTACTGTTTTGTTTTCAATAAAGGTTATTTGGTGTACGTCTTAATTGTATTCACTTTGTAAAAAGGAGGTGTTATGAAGAGTAATCCAGCCCCTGATTCAGTATACGGGAATAATGCTTGCAAAACTCGTATTTTTACAGAAGGAAGTCATCAACTATAAACTAGGGAAAATTATGTTTCTGTCATCATCATAATAATTTCGTCAGTGGTCATACACGAAGCACGTAATTTATTTTTGTTTCTTAGGCAGCAGCGGTGGCCGCAGTAGTAGACTCTTCGGTCTCCTGATCAGTCGCCGTGCGCTGTGCGGGTTCGAGTCCCGTTCCAGGAGAAATTTTTCTCTTGGCTATGGATGTTATGATTGTCCGTAGATGATAGATGGTCTCTGACTGTCGAACGTGGAGGTACCACCCGGCGGATCTCGTAGGCGGAGCCAGAATGTGTGCATGTTGCATGCACACGTGTTCCCTCGCCAGAGTCCGTGTGGCGTTCCCCCTTTCCCCTGTATCCCCCTATAGCCCCACGGTACCCAATGGGTGTTTAGGCCTTAGGCCTTCGTGGTAGATGGAATATAAAAAAAAGGCATAATGATATAGTTTCATATTTCGTGCAACCATGTATAGATGTTTTTTATTGTTTCCAGTCATTAGCACAGTCTCGGTGATACAATGAATAGGAAACGCTTTCATTGGGAGCTATACAAGCTGCTCCTTAGAGTGTTTCCCAATATCCCGATTATAGATGATGAGTCTGGAATAGATGCCGCTCAAGCGGAGTGGACAAGTTTCATTCAAGCAACTCTACAGCGTGCAGCTGTACTTCCTGTACAACGACACGGCAGACCTTTTTTGCCTGCCGACATTCGTCAGAAAATCTCTGACAAAAGAGCCGCTATTAAGCAGGCAGAAAGGTCTTGTCATCCTGATGACATTCGCAGGCCTACAAATCTTGTCCATGAAGTCACTCAGAAACGGAAAGCGAGAACAACTCCCGCACATCCACGATCCTGAAGGCATAGTCTTCAGAACGGAGGATAAGGTCGAGGTTTTCGCTGATGCCATGGAAAAACAGTTCTCTCCCAACTATGATCTTGATAATGACCTCGTCGAGGAACAGCACATCGTACGATCCATCAGGAGATATTTTAGGGCCAACGGCGTTAGCGGAGGCACTGAATCGTCTTCAGATGACTCTTCTTCAGAAGATTCGTCTGAGGCTCCACATAGCGCATTAGCGCAACCCTCTGAGTTTCCACATTGCACACCATCGGAGCAGCTAAGTTATATTAAAGACCTCAAGGTGCGTAAAGCACCTAGAGAGCATAAAATCACCATCAAGGCGTTGAAGCTGCTCTCGCCGAAAGCCCTGACATATTTGGTGACAATAATCAATGCGACGCTCAGAATCCAGTACTACCCTGCTGGGTGAAAGACTGCTGAGGTCATCATGATTCCAAAAAAGTTGGGTTCGATATTTCCTCAGGATTACCGTCCCATAAGTCTGCTGTCAGCTCCTTCTAAGCTCGCCGAAAGAGTGATTTCTCGTCACCTTGAGAATGTTTTGTCAAATCACCATGTGATTCCTGACGTTCAATTCGGTTTTCGGTCCGAGCATAGCACCGAGCTACAGGCAGTGAGGCTGGTGGAACATGTAACCAGAGGGTTCACCCTCAGCATGAGTACTGGCATCTTGCTTTTGAATGTCTCAAAAGCCTTTGACAAGGTGTGGTACGCGGGCCTCCTTTATAAAGTAATCCAAAAGGGTTTTCCTTTTTGGCTTCTAAAATTACTGAAATCCTTTCTTGAAGGAAGGACGTTTCGGATCAAAATTAACAATGTTTTCTCAACAACACGGCCAGTACGGTCCGGTGTTCCTCAGGGTTCGGTCCTAGGACCAATCCTTTATTCGCTTTTTATCCATGATGTCCCTTGCCTCAGCAACTGTGAAGTCTAGCTCTATGCTGACGACACTGCACTTGTTGCCCAGTCGTGTACTGGTGATCTGGTTCACGATGGGTTGCAGAGTGCGGTGGAAGAACTACTAGAGTGGGCGGAACGGTGGTTGATTAAAATTAATAATTCGAAAACGCAGGCTATTTATTGTACCAAAAAACGTCGCGGCCCCCCAGCAGAGGTCTCAGTAGACGGCAATCGTGTACCATGGACAAGCTCTGCCAAGTACCTCGGTGTCACCCTTGATAAAGCAGGACCTGGCAGAAACATAGAGCAGCCTTGAAAACAAAATTCCAAATTGCGTTTCAGCAACTATGTTATATCCTTTGTAATGTAGATCCTCCAAATTGAGTTTGATAAACAAAGTTCGCCTATATAAAATGATTATTAGACCAGCCATTACTTATGCATGTGCGGCTTGGTGCTTTCTTGCCAAGACACATATGCAAAGTCTTCAAGTACTGCAAAGTAGAACTTTGCGAACAATTTGCAACGGTCCATGGTATGTTTCAAACGAGACACTACACAGAGACCTTGACATTCCTTACTTGAGGGATTATAGCAAACTTCAGGCGCAGCGATGTTATAGTCAAGCGGAATCGCACAGCAACCCTCTGTTGCGCGAGTCAGTGGACTACACAGTGAAGCAAGTTCGTAAATATTCAAGGCGACGGCTCGCACTGTAATCAAAAATTAGCGCGAACTTTTAGCAAATTTAAAATTACACTCTAACAAAACCGAATCAAAATTTGTTTAGTACACCTCAAAATTAATCCGTGTACCAAGTCAAAAAGGCTAGGTGTCTCCTTTTAACCTAAACACTTCTGTTTTTATTTGCTCTTCGCCATTTTTCTGCTCTTTCCCTTTCTCTTTTTCCTTGACATTGTCTGGTTTCTGGGCAACCAGTACTGGCAGATTCGACTAACGTACAGACAAACAAATGACGAATGACGTGATACAATGAACGAAAGCAGAGCAAAAGTAATATCTATCAGAGGTGTAAAGTCGATAGAAATACGTCAGCACAAGGGCCATCTACCACCACAATCGATCACTGCGAAGAGAATAGCAGCAGTTTATACTATAAAGGTATCTCAATTCGTGTCAATGATTTCTGATAACAGATGGCACTTTTCTATTTGGATCAAGGTTACTTTTGTCATGTCTACGTTCATTCTCCTACCTAGACCGTGCTGAGGATTGGCAACAAGTGTGAAACAGTTGTACATACTTGATCCGATGAACGAAAGCAGGATTGCTAGCTGCTTTCTAACACAATCTTGACCTTTTCCATTATTAAACATCGGATGCTAGTTGCGTAATAGCGTCTCAGACCATACCCTATCCTCTAAGTGCATGTAAGCGTTGCGTTGGGGTCTAACCTTATAACATTCGTAATATACGAGAGTTTTCGGTCTCCTCTCTCCATCTTCTTTCTATTTCACCCTCGGGACGACCCAGTTTCCTGTTCGGTCTCCGCTATTATCATTGCTACGCCTAAAACTGAAATTCAAACACGGCATGCTCGCACTGTATTTGCCGAATAATATATCACCCACCTCGATTTATGTGTCTCCAGTCGGAGTTGGCAGGTGAGAGCACTACATCTTCACTGTCAGCGAGAGAATCGCTAATACAAGATGCCTACGTCAAAGCTTCTGTTTAGTCCAGGAACGTATATATTTTAAAAGAACTGATTTTGATCTTGTCGTGCTTAACAATTTCATTGTTGCTAAAGATGATAAGTGAAGAGCTTAGAGCAATCAGACGTATGGCAAGAACAGAGTGTTCTTCGGCCTCTTTTCTTTCTCAATGCTACGCCAAAAGGTTCAGAAAAAATATGTGCGTACAGGAGCAAGTAATATTTATTAGTTTACGATTTTGTTCTTTTGCAACTCCACTGCCTTCCGACGATTATTTATGGCATATCTATTCTGACCTTAAACAGCATATCTCTCCTCTAATTACACTGGTGAACAAAATATTAAAATATTTTTTTGCGACGTAGATAAAACAAGCTGGTTATTATGTAAAACGTACCAAAAAAGCCGGAAATAGTATTCGATTTTTCTATCACCCACGGTTTCTTGCAATAAGGCATTTTATTTGCTGCTTATACTCATAAAATATAAGGATATGTGTGTAAGAGTACTTACAAACACTCGAATAAACATTAATCTCAGAATGTTGTTGTCGATGTTTTACGGCGATATGTTGCTCCTGAAGTATCTCTTAACAATGTCCAGCAATAATCAGCAAGCGAATTGACACTCCATTTGCTTTGATACCGTTTTTCCATATTAGAAATGTCTTGGTGGAACCGTTCATTCCTTTATAAGCATTAATTAGTGCACTCACCATATCTTTATAATTGTCCGCCTTCGCATTGCCTAAAAAAATATGCAGTAACTGATTTAAAAGCATTCCAAGCTCGTAATTCAGTTTCATTTAGAGCACTGTCAAATACATCATCCCTCATGATTTTCCGTATTTGTGGGCCCACAAATATTCCCTCTTTAATTTTTGCCTCACTAAGTCTCGGAAATGTTTGTTTTAAATGCAGAAACCCTCATCCATTTCGACCCATAGCTTTCACAAAAATTTTCATCAGTCCCAACTTAATATGCAAAGGTGGAAGCAACTCGTTTTTGGAATCAACTAGTGGTTCATGAGCAATGTTTTTGATGTCAGGAGTTAATACCTGACGTAGTGGCCATCACTCCTTCTATTCATAATGACGATCTCGCGCACGACTGTCCCATTCACAAAGAAAACAACAATATTCAGTATATCCCAGTTGCATTCCAAGAAGAAGGGCTATTACGTTTAAATCTGCACATATGGACCATCCATATTCATTATAACGGATATGCTCTAACAGAACTCGTATATTTTCGTATGATTCCTTCATATCAACGGCGTGCCCTATAGGTACAGATGGATATTTATTTCCGTTGTGTACCAATACCGCTTTCAAACTAAGCTTAGAGGAATCAATGAACAGGCGCCAATCATTTGGATCATGTTTTCGTCCTAACGCGTTAAACAAATTGTTGACAACGTAGCAATATATTAACTCCCTTT